GAAAGTTCAAGGAATTTATTGTAATGCGGATCTCTTCCAAGACCCAGTACCTGTATGTCAAGGGGGCAAAGCAAAAAGTGGACGGAAACGTACTGAAAGGCACAGTTCACGATAGAAATGGTTTCTGAGATTCCTCCTATGGATGAATCTGTGACCCTCAAGAATAGCTTGAGGAACGCTGCCAGGTCAAAAAACGGCCAACATCGGGCGTAACAAGGGCCCAAAGGTACCCACCGATAATGTTTTGTAATGCTTGGCTTCAGATCTCTGGCAAAAGTGAACGCAAGCTGAATTTCTAATATTTCGGTCAGAATGGGAACGACCTGAACAGCAAACCAGAAATAAGCTGGAGAAAATACCGAATTTTTCACATGTGTTGTACTTTTCAGGAAAAGGGTGAGGAGTGCTGCGAAAGAACAGAAAAGGTTGTATACCAAAAGGGAACAGCCGTTTTCGCGCATGATAAAAACTGTAAACTAGTACGATAGCTGTCAATTGGAATTGAATTAAAGGCAAAGTAGTAAAGTCTACAAAAATAGGTCTAAAATCAAAGTCAATCTAACAGAAGGAAGGTCTGAGTCAGGCGCTACACGTGTCTATCATGAACGTGGCCTGTTCTTTCGGCAGTTGAGGCGGACGCGGCGATACGGGTGAAGGTCACATTTTTAGGACGGCCGCGCTATACTTTATCTGATTTTGGGTTGTTTTTTTTTTCAAGAAATCATTTCTATGAGCACTTCTGGGGCTTGTCATAAACATTGGAGATCAGGTGGGTCCCAAAAAAATCAGAATTATTGAAATAACTCAATAACAATGACAATATTACCTGCAAAAACGCAGAACTCCGAGAAGAGTGCACTGTTTGCAGGCGTGTCGCACTGATACAATCGCATCATTGAAATGATTTATGTTGTAAAATGGATTTTCGTATAGTTTTATTGATTTAAACTAGTCTTTCATGTATTCAGAGTAACAGCATTTCCTTACCATAGCAGATAGTCTCTATCAGCTATAACGAAGTAGCGTCATGAAGAAAGGAGGAGGCTTGGAAATCTCTTTGGTCTAATGGATAAGTGAAAGAGTGCAAAGCATAGCTGTAGGTTCAAATCCCTTCTATTGGCCATACTCCCAATTCTCGAATCAAAACTAATGGTTGTAGGAGTTACATGACAGTTACTGAGTTGCGAAAATAAAGTGTAATTGATAGAATGAAGTCTTAATATGCATGTATCACATGTCGTTGTGTTCAGAGCACGCTGAACAGTATGTTTAAACAAATCAGAAACACTGTGGTGGGCCTAATAATGTTTACTGACTTCGTTTGTATTCGTGTTCTCCACGTCGTGTCCGCGTCCTTTGCTAAAGGAGACGGGCAGTTGAATCGGTTCTGTGTAATCGATTTGCCGCGCGCGGCAATTGCGGACCAATTGCCTCGCGTGGTCCTTTATTGCAGTCCTAGAGTTCTTCATACGGCTCGATCGATATGCGTCTATTATTTTTGGCATGGTTGTACTGTTACTTCTTTGTTCCTGTATTTCTCACTGACTGTGCTGTTTCTGCTTCAATCTGCTACGTTTCTTCGTAGGCGACGTCGCTCTCGCCGCGAAGCGACAACCTCGATTCAGCTGTAACGCAAATCTCTCGGTGAGGAGAACTTTTCCTTAATACTAGAAATCCAAGCGGCCTGAAAGTTGTTAAGGGGCTCGACGAACCTATTATGTTGAGTCATAAGTCCTCGGACAATGTGATAGTGATGACTGCTAGCGATCATAACTCGGGAAAGAGGTGACAAAAATGAACGCGCGAGGCATTGTTAGATAGAGTATGGAAGGTTCTTCCAAATGCATACTTGAAAACGCACCCAACTGTTTCCTTTCCCGCAACTGTACCTCATGATTTCAAGCCGTCGCAACTCCACATCCGCAACACCATCACATTTATTTTT